ACAACACAGGTGAGTCAGCACAGACACCTGAACGTAACACCACAGGTAAACACTTGTTTAATTTTTTTTAAATGCAGTATGTGTGTGTATCTGTTTGTTTGTTTGTTTGTTTGTTTGTTTGTTTGTTTGTTTCAGAAACACTCAGATCTTCAAACCAAGCAGACCCTCAGGTCTTCTCAGACCCACCATGTTCAGGAAGTCCAGCAGGAACTTGAGCACGATGAGGTTGTGTTCAGGTAGACTCTCCACGATCTGCCTGCACCTGGAGACCCTCAGGCTGCTCTCCACACCTGGACAGGTAGGAACACGTTCAGAACCAGACTGAGCCCAGCAGAAACCCGGTTCTCAGCGCTCCCGACTCACCGAGCAGCTCCTGGACCTGAGTGTAGACCCTGAAGGTGAGCAGAGGTTCTGGCAGCTCTCTGAGGAACGTCTTCAGGATCACAGCAGGGAGGTGGACGTCCTGGTACTGATCGAAGTCCACGGGCTTCCCTGCAGAACCACCAGAACCATCAGAACCACAGACCAAACCCTCTGAGTTGCTGCAGCAGCCCCTGCAGGTGGGGCAGGGAGACCCCCCTCACCCTGATTATAAAGTTTCTGGACCTCCTTGATGGTCTGAATCCGAACGGAGCGCCTGAAGATCCCCTCAGTCCTCAGACCTGGAACACAAACATCCAGGTGGAATTAAGCCGGTCCATGTCCAGTGACCCCCCCCCCCCCCCCGCTCAGGTGGGCTCACCTTTTCTCTTCAGGTACGCCACAGTCTGCTCCATGACAGGTGGGACGWCGGCCCCTCGGCTCCTCTCTCTGATGCTGCAGGAGAACAAGGTTAAAACCCACCATGTGACCTGCTGCGGGGGTCCAGACTTACAGAACTCACTACTGCAGGCTGACGCCAAACTGCTGTGTGGGGAGGGGGGGGCGAGGGGGCGGAGTCCTCACAGGGGGAGGGGCTCTGCCCTTCTGAGCCGCTCGCAGCTTCTCGTCGTGTCTGCGTTACACACATGTGGTCAGGAGCGTGTCAGGCTGAGGAAGAGGAGGAGGGGGAGGAGCTACCTGAGCACGTCTGCAGGGATGAAGAGCTGATCGTAGTTCAGGTGTTCTCGCAGCTCCGACAGGTAGTTCACGTACTTCAGCTTYTTCCCAAACTTGTGGCTGACAAGAAAACAAACAGGAAGAAATAAATAAGATGCTTCAGACGACAGCAATGATTCAGAAGCTCCGCCCACACAGGTTCAGGTGAGTTTTACCTGATCAGAGGTTTGAAGAGGTTCCAGACGATCCGGATGAAGTTTGTTGGATGAACGACGTACAGGGTCTTCAGGTTCTTCTTGTACCTGTCAGTAAAATGATGTCAGTGTTCTGACCCAGARGAACCAGAAATCTGATCCAGTTCCTGTTTGGTTCTGGTTCTTTAGCTGGTCTAACCTTTGGACTCAGCTGTCAATTAAACGCTAAAGATGCTGTAAGAACATTTCTATGGAAACAAGTTCAGCATCATCTGATCACGCCCACAGGATCAACCTACTTCCTGTCCAGGTGAACTACTTCCTGTCCAGGTGATCTACTTCCTGTCCAGTAGACCTACTTCCTGTCTAGGTGAATTACTTCCTGTCCAAGAAAACCTATTTCCTGTCCAGGTGATCTACTTCCTGTCCAGTAGACCTACTTCCTGTCCAGTAGACCTACTTCCTGTCCAGGTGATCTACTTCCTGTCCAGTAGACCTACTTCCTGTCCAGTTGAACTACTTCCTGTCCAAGAAAACCTATTTCCTGTCCAGGTGATCTACTTCCTGTCCAGTAGACCCACTTCCTGTCCAGTAGACCTACTTCCTGTCCAGGTGAATTACTTCCTGTCCAAGAAAACCTATTTCCTGTCCAGGTGAACTACTTCTTGTCCAGGTGATCTACTTCCTGTCCAGTAGACCTACTTCCTGTCTAGGTGAATTACTTCCTGTCCAAGAAAACCTATTTCCTGTCCAGGTGATCTACTTCCTGTCCAGGTGATCTACTTCCTGTCCAGGTGACCTACTTCCTGTCCAAGAAAACCTACTTCCTGTCCAGGTGACCTACTTCCTGTCCAGGCGACCTACTTCCTGTCCAGATGAACTACTTCCTGCCCAAGAAAACCTACTTCCTGTCCAGGTGATCTACTTCCTGTCCAGTAGACCTACTTCCTGTCCAGGTGAACTACTTCCTGTCCAAGAAAACCTATTTCCTGTCCAGGTGATCTACTTCCTGTCCAGTAGACCTACTTCCTGTCCAGGTGAACTACTTCCTGTCCAAGAAAACCTACTTCCTGTCCAGTAGACCTACTTCCTGTCCAAGAAAACCTATTTTCTGTCCAGTAGACCTACTTCCTGTCCAGGTGACCTACTTCCTGTCGAACTCGCTGTAAGCCTCCCGGAGCCACTTCAGTGAGGGTTTGTTGGCGCTCCTCAGACCGTGGTGGAAGTAAACCAGTATATAGTCCATCTCCACGTACTGGTCCAGAGTGAACTTCAGGTACCTGCAGCAGGGGGACAAGGTGAGCACAAGCTGGGGGGCGGGGCCAACCTTAACGTGAGCTGTGAGGCGTACTCCAGGAGGCGGCGGTGGTTCAGCTGGTGGGACGGAGGAAGACAGTAGCTGCTGAAGACGATCAGCTTCCTGCCGTAGTTATCGTCCCCTGAAGACACGAGGACATCAGGTCCACTAAACAACACTGAAGCTCATTTTCACCACAGCAGCCGAGTCTTATTAAAGCTAAAACAAGCTAAAGGACTAACTAAAAGCCAAAAGGTAAAGTGTTGCTAAAGGTAAAGAAGCTAAAAGGCTAACTAAATGCTAATAGATGAAAACTTAACGTAGCAGAACGTTACTAAACGCTAAGAATAGCGAAAACATAGCTAGAAGCTAAAAGTAGCWTCAGAAGACCAAAAACTGAGTCGGGTTTTAGTTTTTTAAAGACCTGAAGAGATCTGAGGAACTAACTTTAAATTACACTAAATGAGCCGAACGTTAAAACAGCTAAAATGGAAGAACTAAAAATAAAATGCTGACTCGGCATAAAGTTAAAACTGCTGAGTCAGCAGAAGCAAACTGACCTGAGACCTGGATGATCCCGTGTCGGGCCACATCATAGTACGGGTGAGACGGATCAGGACCGGACCAGCTGGGAGACGGACCATCAGGAAGGCTCCTCTGCTCCTCCTCCTCCTCCTCCTCCTCCTCCCTCTGCAGCTCTGTCAGAACCAAAACACAGACATCAGAACCTCTAAAGTGTCTGGATTTAAACAGGAAGTTCTCTGATGGACCAGAACCAGCAGGAAGTTTGTTCCAAACACAGCGGGTCTGATAACACGCAGGAAATGACCCGCTCACAGACAGGAAGTGATGCTCAGACAGGAAGTGATGCTCAGACAAGACTCAGCTGAAATCAGAACCGGGTTCTGCAGAAACTAAAGGTCCAGTATTCCTGAGAGGGATGCTGATCCACTGAGCTCACCTGTTGACAAACAGCTGAAATGTTGAAGGTTCTGCTGATCAACAGCCGAACTTTAGCTCGTCGATGATTGAATATCAGCAGAAATGTTTCCAGACAGAGGCATGTTTGAACTGGTTTATTCTTATTGAAACACATCATGATGCTGCCGCCGCCGTGCTTCACAGTTCAGTCTGATCCAAACGCCTCCATCTTTGTCCCGTCCAGACTTCAGAAAGAGGTCTTTAGCGTTGTTGGTCCATGTGTAGCTGGTTGTGTTAACTTTTCTCTTCACTCCGGGTGTGTTCCTGCTGCCTTTAAACACGCTGTCATTCAGCCTCCTCTAAGTAAATAAAAGGTTTAAGTCTTATTTATCTAACAGGAGTTTTTCTSTTCATATTGGAGWTTTTATTCCTCAGAGGCTCCTCTTAAATGTGGGGTACCTCAAGGCTCCATACTGGGCCCCATTTTATYTTYTATTTATTTGCTCTCACTGGGGTCCATCTTCAAGAAACACGATGTGTCATTTSATTTGTATGCAGATGACAYTCAGATTTATTTACCTTTAAGATGTGGTGGACCTCAGCATGTGGACAACCTGCAGAACYRCTTAAAGGACGTTAAACGTTGGGTGGAGATAAACTTTCTTTGTCTAAATGAAAATAAAACAGAGCTCATTGGGTTTGACAAAACTGACCTGCTGGTGGGATTTAACAGAGCTGTTTGTTATTTTATTAGGAATCTTGGAGTTCTTTTAGACAATCATTTTAAATTTGATAAACAGGTCAGCTCAGTGGTCCGGTCCAGTTTTTATCATTTAAGGCTCCTCAGTAAAGTCAAGTCTCATCGCCCACATGATGCTGTTTAAAGGGTTAATCTTGCTTTTATATTACTAGGTTTTTATTTTATTTTATTCTTGCTGTGAGCCACTTTGGTTGCCTCGGGGTTTGTAAAGTGATATATAAATAAAGTTTTGATTGATTTGATTTGATTGATCTTTAATCTAGATTAACAGACACACGGTGTGAACAGTTTTATTT